ATGACACTTATAAAACCCTTCTCCAGACTCAACCCTATGAGTAATCAACACTGGGCTACAGCTAACAGCTTTTGCACATCCACTGCAAACGTAACTCTTCACTCCACTGTGCCATCCCTGGGGATGAATGAGGACAGATTTGCGGCCTAAGGATTTCCCACATTTGCTGCACGTGTACTGCCTGGATGCACTGTGAGTCTTTCCGTGTTCGTTCAGGGTTGGCGTCTGCTTAAGCGATTTTCCACATTGACCAAGCTCGTATGTTTTTCCAGTGTGGTATCTCTGGTGTATGGCAAATAAAGATTTGTACCTGAATGTTTTCCCACATTCACTGCACACAAAGGACTGTCTTCCAAGGTGGACACCCTGCTCCTGAATATGTGCGTGTTTGGGACCAAAGGCGTTCTTGCATTCTCCCCAGGTGTCATGACTTTTTCTGCTTTGTAAAGTTGCCCTGCGCTGGGTGATCGTGTGTGCCTTCTCCCCAGTATCAGTGGCCTCTTGCTGCAGATGCCCCGAGCCAGACAGGAAGTCCTTCTGAACTTCTCCACAGGTAAAGGGCTTTCCTGAACCATGGAATCCCCAGCTCTTCACAACAGAGGCCCTGTCCACACGGCTTCTGGAGGGTTCTGCTCCCACGTGCTGCTCCTGCTGCTGCTGAAACTTTACACTGAAATAAAATCGTTTCCCACAGGCCCCACACCTCAACAGCTTCTGGCTGTTTTCTTTTCCCTGGTGCGCAGCCAAGTGGAAAATGTCTCTCAGGACTGGACCACACATCTCACAGGGGTGGGTCTTCCGGGAAGACTGAGCTGCCTTGGGCGTCCTGGTCTGTGACACGCCTACAGAAGTGCTCTGGGCAAAGGGTGCCTCATCCTCTGCTCCACAGCAGCAACCTGAAGGCAAAGAAGCGCTGGTGAAATTTGTGTTGACTATAGCGAGGGGGTGAGCCCATCACATACATGCACCCGACTCATCTAGGCAGGACTGTATGGCACGCTTTTCCACACACAGGAGATGAAATTCAACTGAAGGAGTGGCCAAAGTATTATGGAGAGCACACCAGAAGGACAAAAAACTAGGGTATGACACAAGGGAGAGAGCCAGGGTCTACAATTTGTTTTCTGCCTACACAAAGGTTTGTGTAAGACCGTTTCTGCTGCTGGTGTTTGGCTGAGTAGACGGCTGCAGCACAATCCAATCACACGAAACTGACTGCAGTCAAGGTCAGTTTAAGGACATGTGACTGTCTCATTGCAAAATGTTTGGGGGTGAACGGTGAGGTACACAGAAAGAGCAGTGACAGAAATGGGAGAGACGTGCACACCTGAGATGCAGGGATTATCCCTCTCCTGGAATTCACGGAATTACCAAAGGAGTAGAATGCACGTGACAAAAAAATGTCAACAGTGAGGAAGGAACGACAGAAACGGGGTGTGGCCATCGGCAATGGCACCAAACCCTGGCTGAACAAACAAAGGTGCCCAGTGTGATCAAACACAGGCCGGATATCACACCGTTGCCAGCTACCATTCATGAGAAACGGGCTCCCTGTGACACCACCTGGTCATGTCTGGAGCATGTCCATGCTTTGATACACAAGGCACTCCTCCCTGTAAGCCGTAGCTGAGCATACAGGATACGGGAAGATAGAAATGCTGTAGGAAAACAGGCCAAGTGGACCGCCAGCACTATCCCAGAGCTACTCAGGACACGATGGACACCAAAAACGTCCTGTGGAACTGTTATCAGCTGCAAGGTAGAATGAGAGATACCATCCTTAACCCCAAGAAACATCAACGCAACAGCTGTCCAGGAGTGACACTAGCCTCCGAGGGCTCAACCGTCCAATTAAGATGGACTAGTACACAGTGGAGCATAAAAGAGCACAAGCACACAGAAACGACGGCTGGAGACTGTTATTAGCGGAGGCAGGTGGGGACGGGTGGGAAATAAGGCCTGGGGCCGTCTCCATCTGCCACAGGGTGGGTGTGCCTGCAGTCCCTGCTCAGCAGGGCCTCCAGCCTCCGGCTCCTCAGAGGACACTGCAACATTGGCCACCAAGTCAACCAGAGCCTAAAGCCAAAGCCATCTTCAGAAGATCAAACCTTTAAGCAGCACATTTCTGATTTCAAACTAGATCACAAAGCTAGACAATTCAAGACAATTGGGTACTGGCATAAAAACAGAACAACAGAATGAAGGAAAAGCCCGTCAGGACAGCCACACATATACGGGCCAACTCCTCTTTGACCGTTATGCCAAGAAACAACGCTGGGGAAGAAATAACCTCTTTCGTACTACTGCTGCGAAATAGGAGTATCCAAATGAATAAATAAGAGTGGATCCCCATCTTACAGCACTCCTTGGAACGCACGTGTGATTGATTAAAGACCAAAACTTATGACCTGACACCCTAAAACTCCCAGCAAAAACAGAGGGAAGAGCCTCTTTAACCTTACTCCTGGCAATGGGTTTTTGAACAGGACACCCGAAGCATATATAACGAAAGCAAAAGCAAACAAGCAGGACTGTACCAAATGCAAAAGTTACAAAGAACATCTGGGGCGGGGTGGGGCCCTGGCAGGCTCAGCAGGTAGAGCATGTGACACTTGATCACGGGAGCTGTGAGTTCCAGCCCCACATGGGGTGTACAGATCACGAAAAAAAATTTTTTTTAACTTTTAAGCAAAATAGTAAGGTGACAGGGCGCCTGGGTGGTTCAGATGGTTGGGCGTCTGCCTTCGGCTCAGGTCATGATCCCAGAGTCCTGGGATCAAGTCCCGCATCGGGCTCCCTGCTCCTTGGGAGCCTGCTTCTCCCTCTGCTTCTCTCTCTCTCTCCCTCTGTCTCCCATGAATAAATTAAAAAAAAAACATAGTAAGGTGACAAAGAACATTTTGGAAACATGGGACGCCTGGGTGGCTCAGTCGGTCAAGCGTCTACCTTCGGCTCAGGTCATAATCCTAGGGTCCTGGGATCTAGCCCCACATGGGGCTCCTTGCTCAGCGGGGATCCTGCTTCTCCCTCTGCCCGTCACTCCCCTGCTTATGCGTGCTCTAACAAACAAACAAATAAATATGTCTTTAAAAAAAAAAAAAGAACATTCAGTAAACATGCACATGCATGAAAACTAAGACAAAAAAGGCAACACTGCCACTTTCTACAACATGGAGGAACTTGGAAAACATTATGCTAAGTGAAATCATCACACAGAAAAGACAAATACTGTATGGCATTCTTGACATGGATATCCTTTTTTTTATTTTAAAGACGTTATTTATTTGTGAGAGAGAGACTGAGAGCGCCTGTGCCCACGAAGAGGGGGGCAGATGGTGGTCAGGTATACACACTTTCATTTACAAGACGATTCAGTTCGGAGGTACTAATACAGCACGTTGACTACAGTTAATACTGCATTTGTAGAGCTGAAATTTGCTAAGAGGGTAGATATCAAGCTTTCTCACCACCACCACCACCAAAAGTAACTCTGCCAAGTGATGGTTGTGTTGACTAACATCATTTAGGTATTAATTTCATAATTTTTATTAAAGATTTTTATTTATTTATTCATGAGAGAGAGAGAGAGA